GACCCCCTGCTGCCTTTCCAGATGTGCGCTCCGCTCCCTCCCGCTTTGCTGCGCCTCCGTGCTGGCCACCCATCCAGGCTCCAGGCCTCCCCAGCTCCCACTGTGTCCCCTCGGCGGATCCCCCCTCATCCTGCAGCTGCCCACTCAAAAGCCACCGCCTTGTGAAGCCTTCTCAGAGTCCACTCCCTCCCGCCACCATGGACCCTCGTGGATGCTCGGCACACATACTCATGGCTCTTCTTTCTCCCGTGGCCAGCCATCTGTGCACCCCACCCAGGGCGCTGGAGTCAGTGAGGAGCACGCTCCCCCAGGGGGTGTCCCAAAGCTGCAGCGTGCAAGACTGCCCCCAGAGCTCAGGGTGCTTTAGGGCTGGGTGAGGTGGCACCAAGGAACTCCATGTTTAAGGGGCTCCCCAGGGGTCCGAGGGGCTTCTGCAGTGGAGCAGCAGGGGGCCAGCTCGCTGTGCCAAGTACCTAAGCTGTGTGGCCTGGGAAGAATGTCTTAGGTCAGGCAGAACACCAAGCGCCTGGTAGAACAGGAGTAGCCTTTGTAGCCAGGTGCCTAGGTCTCCCCATTGCCTTCTGGCCACTGGGCTGTAAGCCCCACCCACCCTGGCCTGGCCCTGACGGGCTCTTGTCCATCATGCAGAGCATTGGCAGGGGTGAGGGTGGGAGGGAGTGCAGCAGCACCTTGCCTGCCCTGGTCAGCCCATCAGTGAACCTAAGGTTGAGCCTAGCTTTTCTAGCAGCTGAGACAACAACCCTTCCCGGATGTGAGGCATCTCAAGGGAGGTCAGCCCCGGCCACCTGTGCGTCTGCGTCCTGTGTGCCTGTGGGCTCTGGGCAGGCTCTGCTACCTGGCTTATGGAGTGGTCCCTGCAGTCGCAGTCTTGGACTTCCAGGCTGTTGGGACTGGCAGTGTCCATGTAGACACTGGCCGGTCAGGTCCCTGCTCCACACAAGAGGAAACAGGGCCCAGAGAGAAGGGACTCAACCGAGGTCACCCAGTGGGAGCGTGGGCCTGCTGGGGCCCAAGCCTCCGTGCCCTGATCCACTCATTCCTCCGTGAGATCTTGACCTTGTCACGTCAGATTCCTCACCCTTCTCAACAATGCCGAAACCGATTGGTTACTTTAGCTCACTTTTTAACAGTGTATGTTCTTTTTGATGCAAAATACCTGCTTGGAAAAAAAAAAAAACAAACAAAAACAGAAATAAAGCTCCCCCAGGTTGTATGTCCATCCCAAGCTAAGAGAAACATTGTCTGGGTACTTGGCCCTAGATTTCTGGATTTTGTGAACCACAAAATCCCTGCCCAGGCTTCGGAGGCCAGCACAGCTCTTCATGTTGCTAAGTGGGGGCATTTCTAACCTGCTACTTGCGCTCACCATCATTTCATACTAACATATGAATGCACCACAATAAAAAGAGAGTCCTTGAAACCCAGAGCACGGAGCTTCTTGGAGCGCTCATGACGCGGTGTATTGCACATTCTCTATGAACCAGCGAGAAGTTTCAGCAGCAATTGGGCTTCCGGGGGTGGAGGATGGGTGACAGTTTTGCAGTATTTTGACTGATACCATCATCCCATCTGGACACCACATGGAAAGGCCAAATCAGAGGCAAGAAAGGCATCTTTCCCTTCCCTCGTCACCTTTGCCACAGCAAGAGTCCCTTCTTGAGACAGACCTACGTCCATAGCCTTAGAAGCATCTGCTCAATGTAAGGAGGAGACACACCCTCTCCCCAAGGGACGGCAACATCACGGCATGGGTCACGGGTCATCTTCCTTCAGTGTGTGGAGGCACGCCCAGCAGTGTGCCAGCCCTCCACGGGGCTCAGCGTGCCTTACTCACGGGTCTCAAGTCTTGGTCCTGAGGGTCCCCTATTCAAGAATGGGGTGTGCTGGGCAGAAGGGGGGCTCGGCGGCCAGATCCATGACAATAAGTCTTTTCTGTGGTGTCCTCATTTGGGTTGGGGTAGGGGGAGTCTCATCACTCAAGCTGCCTTCTTCTGAGAAGCCTACCTGTCAGATACCCCGCTGAACCTGGTGGCCACCTCGTAGCTACGGCAGGGGCTTAAGGGTGGGGCAGGTCGTTGGGCACACATCAGATCAGCAATGCATTCCAGGCTCCAGAAATGCATACTTGCTTCGCTGATCACATCATACAATGAGCTACACAACACTTTGCACAAATCAAACCCACCTTCTAAGACCAAAGATTCCCCCAGCCACCCCCACACTGAGGGCATTCGCAAAGAGGTGGCCAAAAGTGTGCCACCCTGGCTGGCCTCCCAGAATCTAGGCACATGGTCGCACAACACTGGGCATTCACTGTGGCCACTCAGTTGCAGTTCCTGGGAGCCCCACACCCAGGTCTGTCCACCCCTGGGCCCCCATGCCAGTCCAAGGTCGGGTCAGGAAGTCCAAAGACACTTGACTCCCAGCGAGTTCACCCACATGGTTCTCATTTTTCAAAGACCCATTTCCCTTTTGACTTTTAGGAAGCTTAAAAGGTGGGGGACAAAGCAAAAACCTGTCTGCTCCCCAGAATCCAGGCTCTCTGCTCTCTCTCCTGCCTTTCCTGTGGCCCCTCCCCTCTTTTATTTTTCGACTCCGAGTCCCGGTCCGAGGGCAGCAGCCCGGCCTTCGCAGGTAGCTCTTGGGGTGACGGGTGACGTGGGGGCCACTCCCTCCTGCCTCTGCCCTCCTCCCTGTCCCCCCTCCCTCCCTGCTCCGGGGCAGTGGTGGAGCATTCAGGCCTTTCATGGGTTCCCTTTGGAACGTGTGTGTCTCCTTGCATCCGACACTTGTTGTTTCCCTGGGTGTCGGCAGCTTCACTACTAGGTCCATGTTCCGAGCGCCAGCTTCTGAGGAGGTGCCCTGACCAGGAACTGAACCTCCTGGTTCATAGGTTGATGCTCAACCACTGAGCCACACCAGCCTCTTTTTAAATCCATTCTTCCACCAAGGCTTCCCCTGGGTGCCCCTCAATCACTTGGATGATTGTAGAAGAAGCATGATGGCCACACCTCCCGGCAGGGCAGGGCAGGCTGGCAGGGTGAGGTGCAGGGTAAACAAAGGACAGGCCCAGGGAAGGGCCCCCTGTCCCTCTGTGGTGCCACAGGGAGCCTTGTTTCTAATAGGAGCGTGTCATATCCCTCAGGTGTGTTGGGGCGGAAAAAAAGGTTGAGACCACTGACCTAGGATAACAAAGTATTGCAGACACAGGTATTTGACGAATGGCTTGCCATGAACTTAATGTGAATGCAAATGACTAAACGTTTGCAGTGTGCCTGGTTGTTAACCACCCGCCCTCCCAGTCTTCTGAGCGCTAATCAATTTGCTCAGCAAAACCCTCTCTTGGTGGATGACACAGAGGCCGGCCTGGGCCACGGCCACAGCCATGGCCATGGCCCCGCCAGGGAGCTGGGCGACCTAGATGAGGCTTTGCTGTCACGATATGTGCCCAGTGTGGTCCCTGTCCTCGCCCAGCCCCACCCCCGTGCGCTAGCCCGGACAACAGTGCAAGCCAAACTTTATCTCATTTTCTCTCCCACAGATGGAGGTAGTGAGTACCTTCAAGAGAAGCGGTTCATTTCAGGGTGCCGTGCGCCGGCGGTCTTCGGTCCTCAGCCAGCTCCATGACGTAACCAATCTTTCTACCCCTACTCACGTAATTCTCTCTGCTGCCAATCCCACCAGTGCCGCTGGGAGTGAGTCTTGAGTCCCCTTTTCTCTCATAAATGGCATCTCTGGGGGAGAAAAAGCCTCTCCAACTCTTCCTTCTCTTTTTTCCAGTCTTGCATCCTCCGCTCACCGTGGCTTTTCCGTTCTTTCTTTACTGCCCTGTCCAGTCCTTCCCGCCCAGATGGTGTGTCTCGCCAAAGCCATATTCTCTTATGAAATGTACTGAATCCATGGCACTGCTGGACCTTCTGTCCTTTTGTTTGGTTTTTTTGGTTTGCATTTAGTGCTCCTTCTGTCATTGGTTTTCTTTTCTTGAACTCGTCTGCACTTGCCGACGGTTCTTCATGAACTTGGGCTGCTTCTGGTGGTGTCTGGTGTCAGGGGTGGAGGGGGCACCTCGGTCGGTGTTCGGTGGGGCAGCGAAAGGGAGGCAAGCAGGCTCAGGGTCACCTTCCAGGGCTGGAGGGGAAGGCAGGTGCCTTTGGGGCATCACTGGCAGCGGAAGAATCCAGCCCTCCTATTGGGGACTAAAGTGTCAGCTTCCAGAACTTTCCTTGAGGTGGTTTCCAAAGGCACCAGGCCTGATGTGAGCTTCAGGGGGCCTCTGCCACGTGTTCCTAGATGGGCTTGGCGGTGGCCAGCTGCTCCTGCTCTGGTGCTACCTGCCCCGTAGGCCCTGCCCTGAGCCCTCCCCACCCGGGGGTTAGAAGTGCCTGAGGCCTACCGTGAGCTGGAGCCTTCCTCACACCCCCAGCCTGTACTTTACTTCCCATCAG